TCCACCAGGCTCTATTGGACCAGCAAACCTGGTCCCCACCTTTTTTTTTTTTTTTCTCCAAATGATTTTGAGTTTTGTTCCACATTGTTCTCCTTCTCTATCAAGGGTCTCCTACATAGATCCCCTTCTAAGTGGATGACAGTGGTAGCCAGGCACGATTTAGTTCTTCTGGTCTCATAGTTGTATAGGCTGCAGATCGGATGGTGTAGCAGTCACTAGGACTAATTGTTTCCATGAATTTTGGTTTTTTCATTCTTCTCTGCTCTGGACGAGGAGAGACCCATCATTGCATCTAGATGGCAGCTTGCTAGCTTTTAAGATGCCAGTCACTACTCGCCAAAGTAGAAGGTAGAACAATGTTTTGTATAGTATGTTATGCCAATTGAGCTTGATGGCCCCTGCGACTATGGTCCCAAGCCCACAGGTTCAACTGCTCGGTCCCTCTGGGTAGCTGGCTGTGACCAAGCAGTGACCACAAACTTGCCCTTTGTCAGCTCTACCATACACCTGGGAATTCTGATCATTCACATAAACTTATAGGACCATTCATTGTCTGCCAACCCTATATATGTTCTTGGATACCCTTCCCATAATAATCCATATCTTTTGAGGTTGTATCCTTAACTAGATTTACACAGGAATTGGTATGTTGAAAAATACGTGCTGTTAATAACAGAGAAGAAGAAGCAGCAGCTTTATGAATAAATACTATACCTAGATTCAAGTTCTACTATATAGCCCCACTTTTTGACAAATCTGACTTCAAACCTCTAGAATCTAAACTAACACAGCCTTTGACTGAGAGGTTAGTGAAGAAAGCTCTAACCAATCCAGTATAGTAAGTTTTTATATTTCATCTTAGTCTTTCTTTACAGCTGTTGAAAATAATTGATATTACTTGATGTCTTCATTTTAGCACTGCATAATTTTCTTTTTTGCTGTATTAAATTAGTATGAAAATATGTGTTGGCTCCAGTGAGAACTTATGAATAAAAAGATTATAGGGAGACTTACAAAAAACAAAGAAATTATCTTTCAGTTTATAAATTAAAATGTAGTTTTCTTTCCTTTCAAAATAATAAGTTGCTTCTTCTATCTTCACCCTCATCTCCACTTGTAATGAAAATCTGTCTTATGCTTTTTTCTTAAGATTCCCACCAAAAATATTGAAGGGCAGATGACACCCTACTATCCTGTGGGAATGGGAAATGGCACACCTTGTAGTTTGAAACAGAACCGGCCCAGATCAAGTACTGTGATGTATATATGTCATCCTGAATCAAAGCATGAAATTCTTTCAGTAGCTGAAGTTACAACTTGTGAATATGAAGTGGTCATTTTGACACCACTTTTGTGCAGTCATCCTAAATATAGGTAAAATGTGGATTTAATATTTTAAACATATAATGCACACATACCTCAAAGTATTGTGTGCTCGCTCAGCTTTAACACATTGCTCTTGCTGAATAGGTTCAGAGCATCTCCTGTGAATGACATATTTTGCCAATCACTGCCAGGATCACCATTTAAGCCCCTCACCCTGAGACAGTTGGAACAGCAGGAAGAAATACTAAGGGTGCCTTTTAGAAGAAATAAAGAGGTATGAGTATTACCTAATGATATTTTCTCAGTGCTTTGTTTACAAATTTTAGAGCATATTTTAGTTTTTAATGAGTTCTGTAGTACTAACCAGAAAGCTGGTGGTTCAAACCCACCAACCACTCTTCGGAAGAAAGATTGGGCAATCTTCTACTGTAGAGATACCAGCTCTGAAACCCAAGGAGTGGTAACTGTGAGTCAGGATTGACTCAGTGGCAGTGAGTTTGGTTGGTTTTGGTAGTAAGATGGTAGTAATTTATTAATTTAAAATCTTAAATTGCATTTCTTTAATTTCCTTTGTTTCCTTATTCTAGTACATTTCAGAAACTTTTAGCATTCTCTTTCACTATATAATTTTAATAAAATTATCAAGTTTTGTATCCTATCCATTGTAGTTAGATTAATTCTTATCTCATTAACTGAACTTTCCAGCTAAGCCTCTTGAAAGAATACACTGTAACCCCTCTGAACCTTCTAGGACTTCATTTGTTTTTCAACTCATTGCTATTTCTCATCAAATCATCATTCTTCTAAAACCATTCTTATTAAGGTCCACAGTAATCTTTTGGCTTTAAATTTGCTGGACATACACCTAAGATGATCTTAGCAAATACTCATCAGTGAACTCTTCTTCCTCCCTTGACTTCCAGGTCACTGTTCTGTCTGGTTCTTTTTTACCTGTATACTAGTTCTTGCCCAACTCCTTGCCCCTAAAAATGTTGAAGTTCCCCATGATTCTATCCATAGCCCTTTTCTCTTCTTTTTGTAAACAGGGTCTGTAAGTGAGCTCATCCATGCCCATTCTTTCAATTTCCCTTTATATGCCCATGAATCCCAAATATACATCTGCAAATCTCCTGAACTCAAGGCACAATCATAATAATAGCCTCTCTTGAGTCCTAACAACCGTTACCTAATTCTCACTACAACCTGTGAGATAAATACTATTTTTATCCCCTTTATTGAATTAGCAAATTGAAGTTCAGAAGGGGAAGTAAAGTGATAGATTGGCAATTAGAATCACAGCAGTCTGATTCTAAAGCCTGTCATCTTACACTTCCGTTTGCTGCTCCCCTTTTAATATATTGTCTTCCTTTTTTTATCATTGGACATATCCCTATATAATTTCAATAATGTTTGGTTCATCATTTTTGCTTTTAATACTGATCCTTTTCTTGACTTCTCCATTGTTCTTAAAACACTAGGCATGGGAGCTCTGGTAGCATAGTGGCTAAGGCACTTGACTGCTAACCAGAAGGCTGGCGGTTCAAACCCACCAGCCACTCCTCGGAAGGAAGGTTGGGCAATCCTATTTCTGTAGTGATACTGCCTCGGCAACCCAAGGAGGGGTCGCTACAAGTTGGGTCCGACTCGACAGCACATAACAACAGCAACAACAACAACAGGCTTTACCCAGTTATCTGTATCAGAAACCTAAGTCATTTTTCTTACCTCTCTTCATTTATTTCTAACTAATCTTTCACTGAGAGCCATCTGTTATCTTCTAAACAGTTTTCAAATCTATCCTGTCATTAGTTCAGGCGTTTGTCATTTCCTAGGCCAAGGAACTGGTTTTCTTATGCATTCCCTTTATAATCTTTGGAGGAGCTCTCATGGCACAGTGGTTAAGGCATTTGAGGGCTAACCAGAAGGTCAGTGGTTCAAACTCACCAGCTGTGTGCCACAGGAGAAAGGTGAGGCAGTCTGTGCCTAAAGATTTACAGCCTTGGAAACCTTATGGAGCAGTTCTCCTCTGTCTTACAGGGTCACTGTGAGTCGAAATCATCCCAATGGCAGTGGATTTTCTAATCCTTCCTGCATAGCTGATAAAATGCTGTTCCTAAAATGAACATTTGATTATTTATTTAATCCTTTGGTGATTACAGTGATCTACATCTCAGAATAAAAATCATTGCTCATGGAATACAAGGTTCTAGTGATATGGCTCTAGCCTCCTCTCTCATCACTCCATCACTAATTAGCTTTTACCTCAACTATTATGAACAACCTGTAGTTTCCCGTTCATGTGTTGCCTTGTCTCCTGCCTCTCCTTTACCTGATAAACTTCTTGCTTCAGCTTGAAAACTGAATCCCATTGTCTCTTCCAATGAATTACCCCAGGAAGAGATAAATGTTTTCGCTCTTGTGGTGTTATATTTTATTCTGTTCTGTTTTATAGTACTTAAATGGCTAAAATAGGTAATTTTACCTACCCTTCTTACATTAAACTGGAGGACAGAAGAAACTATTCCTTCTTCAGTTTAGTGTTTCCACCTCCTTGCATAATGCCTGGCTGGGTATGGGTACTTGACAGTAGTTGTTGAATTAGCTAATAGCTGCAAGGCCTGTTCCTCCTCCTCTTGAGAATTCTTTGTAGAAGTGTTGCCGGACTCTTTGTGAGTAATGTGACCAACACTGTCTCTAATAGAAAGGAAAACTGATCTAAACATTAACTTGCAGTTTGATTTGGGGATTTGAGATAGAATTCTCTTCTGGTTTTCTCCTTGGTAATTTAAATACCAGAAGGTACTTAAAAGTAGTCAGCTCAATCAAAATGCTTCACAAATCCCAACTTTTCATTAGTTTTCAAAGAAGAAATGCCAGTTAACATTTCTTTAATATGTTTAATCTGCTAGTTGAGAAATAATAGATTTGAAAGAAAAAAAAAACATGATAATGCTTTGAAAACACTTATAGATCTTTAGGACACTTCTTAAAATTGATCATTTTTATTTTAGAATCATTGTTTTCTAAGTCTAGTTCATTGCATATAATTTTCTTTTAAAACTTGTATCTCACTAATGGTTTGCCTTTTAAGTCTGGACCAAGCTTTACCATAAAGATGAAGAATTTTTTGAGAATCAAAAATATGGACCTGGCTATCAAAGTTTTTATTTGATGTTCTGCCTATGTGATTATGTATTAATTTGGAAATTAAGGAGTCCATTTTATGACTTTCCAAACCCTGCTGCAAAAACTACTATCACCCTGCTCTTATTAGAATAATTTTCTTGGAAAATAAAAGTGAATGTTCTGTCCAAGAGAAGCAATAGGAAATTATGCTTCTATTTGTCCTATCTGTCCTCCTTATTGCAGCTTCAGTCTCACTGTGCAGCATTATTGTTTTCCCTCATAATCTTAGTGTAAGTTATTAGTCTATTTGACCTTGGCTTCTTAGGAGCATTGACTGTGTCTGCTTCATTTTTAATTTTTAGCACTTAAAATATTACATGGAATATAGGAAACACTAAATAGAAAAAGTATACCATAAAGCCACTGGCAACCAACAAAAAAAGTTTCCCTCCATATATAAACCTTTCCTTGACCCTCCACAACAACGAACTAATACTATATTAGTCTTTCTATGATTGACTTATTTCACTGAGCATAATGTCCTCCAAGTTCATCCATATTATGTGGTGTTTTGCAGACTCTACATTATTCTTTAGTGCTGCATAGCATTCCACTATGTGTATGTACCATAGTTTGGTCATCCACTCTTCCACTGATGGGCACATAGGTTGTTTCCATCTTTTTGCTATTGTAAATAATGCTGTGATGAACACAAGCATGCATGTATCTGTTCCTATTCTGGCTCTCGCCTCTCTAGGATATATACCCCGTAATGGGATTGCTGGGTCAAATAGTATCTCCAATTCCAACTTTCTAAGGAGTCTCCATATTGCTTTCCACAGTGATTGTGTCACTTCAGTCACACAAGCAGTGTATGAGAGTCTCAATCTCTCCACATCCCCGCCAGCATTTGTTATTTTCTGTCTCATTGAACCTTGCCATCAGTGCTGGGGTGAGATGGTATCTCATTGTTGTTTCGATTTACATCTCTCTGATGGCCAATGATTGTGAGTATCTTTTCATGTATTAGCTGACCACCTGAATGTCCTCCTTGGTGAAGTGTCTATTCATGTCTTCTGCCCATTTTTCAGTTAGAGTTGTTAATTCCTTTGGTATTGAGGCATTGGAGTTTTCCATCAGTCTTAGAGATAAGTCCCTTGCCATATACGTAATTATCGGCAAATATGAATTTGTTGCAGTCATTTTTGTCGTGTGCTTTTTCAGTGTGTCGATTTCTTTGCTCCATATAATTTTCTATACTGAGCTCATTTTATTTATGAATCGTGTTATCACTTCCTTCATTGCTATTGTTTTAGTATTTGCTGAATATTTATGCTGGTCCTCTTTTTATTTGGATGTGAGGGTTTATCATTTTTCTTTGAGGTTACCCTGTGACCTATAGTTTTCTTCCCAAGTTTAGAACAGTCCGTTCTATCTTGTAGTTCTCTTGGCTTCCCTACCATCTAGAAGTTCTGTAACAACATGGATTTTTTCCCCTCTTTTTGGTTTGTAGTTGTCCTCATTTGTCAGTTGGTTTCTCTGGTTCCCAGTTTACAATCTTGTAGGCTTATTTAGTTTAGATACTTTAGATACTTCCATAGCTGGGTTGGTTTCTGGGTTATATCATCATGGTCAGTTGTTGTTGGCTGTTGTTGCTTCTCTGTCCAGAGGGCTCCCCTTTAGCATCTCTTGTAAGGTTGGTGTGGTTTTAACAAATTCCCTTAGTTTCTGCTTATCTGGAAATCTCCTAATTTCACCATCATATTTGAGGGGCAGTTTTGCTGGGTACATAATTCTTGGTTGGACATTTTTCTCTTTCAGTGTTTTATATATACCATCCCACTGTCTTCTCACCTGCATGGCTCTGTTGAGAAATCCGAGCTTAGCCTTATTGGTTGCCCCTTGTAGGTAACTTTTTGTTTTTCCCGTGCTGCTTTCAGGATTCTTTCTTTGTCGTTTGTTTTTGTGAGTTTGATGATGATATGTCTTGGTGTTTTTCTTTTGGAGTCTATCCTGTTTGGGGTTCGTTGGACTTCCTGAATGGATATATTCTTATCTTTCATCATATCAGAGAAGTTCTCCTCCAACAAATCTTGGACAATTTTCTCAGTGGTTTCATTTTTCTTTACCTGTTCTAGAATTCCAGTGACATGTAGGTTACTCCTTTTGATGGTACCCCACATGAAGCTTAGACTTTGTTTATTTTGTTTTGATCTTTTTTCTGATTGGTCCCTTTCCAAAGAAGTATTCAGGTATTTGTTTTCAGTCTCATTAATTCTGTCTTCCATTGCATCAATTCTACTCCTTTGCCCTTTCAATGTGTTAACTGACAATTTAGTATTAATCTTCTGGATTTCTATCTGTAGATTTAGAATCATTTCTAACTTTTCATTGATTTTGTCATTTTGTTCTTGTATTTTCTTCCAAAATTCTTCTAGGGCTTTGTCTGTGTTTTCCTTGCTCTGTCACTCAATCCTTTGAAGATACCTAAATAGAATTCTTTTGAATTCCTTATCAGAGTGTTCCAATGCTGCATTCTTCCTCAGGGATGTGTTTTGGGTCTGAATCTTGGTCCCTTGTTTCTCCTGCTTTATCTTGCTGCTTTGTGTGGACTGTAATGCTCTGCTGTCTCTGAGGCATTGTGACGTTTTTGTGTTTATATCTAATTGAGGATTATATGTTGGAGCGAATTGCCCACAATTTTCATTTTCTTGTTTTGTTTGTATGTTATCTATACAGGCAGGGTACTGTGCTCTGCTCCTCTATTCACTAGTTGACAGCACTTATATACTCACTACCCGTCTCCTTTCCTTTGTCAGACTCTCGTATGTCCTTGATGACCCTGGCAAACAGAGCCTGTTCTTAGGTCCCTGGAACCCGAATGAGAATGCTATCGCTTTAAAATCCAAAATGGTTGCCACTTGTAAACATTCAAAATGGCTGCTGCGTGTAAACAATCAGAATGGCTGCGCCCTCTGGACAGCAGAAAGTCCACAGCTCAGGTTGTCACCCTCCCTGATGTTTCCCTTCCTAGTCATAGGCCACCAGAGCAGTTGTCCCTGCAGCCCTTAGTGAGCAGGACTGATCTTTAAGTCAGTTCTCAGGTCCCAACACCACTTAGAAATATTCAGGCTGTTGGTCTCGTCAGAGTAGCTAACAGTCCGCAGTTCCGACCATCTCTGTACTCACTGTTTTCATTCAGGTTTTTCCACTAGTTGGTCCCCAATCCACTTCTGTATAGTTCCTGTCAAAGCTCAGAGTTCCAGGATTATCTTCTGTATCTCTGTCATTGGTTTTTCTTTTCTTTGTTGAAGAGGGTCTGTGTCGCTTGTCTGCCTATTCCTCCATCTTACTGGAAGTCTCTTCTCTATATTCTTAAGTGTTGCAAAATTAATGTTCTTAAAACACATTCAAAGAAAGTAAACAACTTTTATTTTCTAAATTTTCTATAGTTTAATAATTTAAACTATAACTTTAAAAAACTGTGTGACATGGAAACCCTAAACATATATATGCTTAATTTTAGGAAGATTTACAATCAACTAAAGAAGAGAGATTTCCAGCAATCCACAAACCCATTGCTATTGGCTCTCAGCCAGTGCTTACTGTTGGAACAACCCACATATCCAAACTGACAGACGACCAACTCATAAAAGAGTTCCTTAGTGGTTCTTACTGCTTTCATGGGGTAAGAAGTAAACCTTCAGTTTAAATATTTATCTTAAATATTTTGTCAGTTATTTAATCAGGGACAATAGCAGCACTGAAAAAGCTTTTTTGTCTGTAAGAAATGGCAGGATTCTGGAAGTGGACATTTTCTTTCTACATTTGGCCACTTACTGTAATCTAATCCATCGCCACTGTGTTACATTTATGAGCCTTGGTGGTGCAGTGAATAAAGCACTTAGCTGCTAACTGAAAGGTTGGCAGTTTGAACCCACCAGCCACTGAGCATGAGAAAAATTGGCAATCTGCTTTCATAAAGATTTATAGCCTTATAAACCCTGTGAGGCAGTTCCGCTCTGTCTCTAGGGTAGCTGTAAGTTGGAATCAACTAGAAGACAATGAGTTTTGGTTTAGATGTTCTCTTTGCTCATGAGCTAAATCTTAACTGTCACTCTGGCAGGAAATATATATAACCAAGGTGTGTGATTCTGGTTAACTCCTGGAATGGTCATCAATGATTATATAGCCTACATTTTGGTTATGTAGCAATCATATTTAAAACTTAATGGCTACAAAAGTAAAATAAAGGTTGGGCAATCTACTTCTGTAGTAATACCACTCAGAAACCCAAGGAGGGGTCGCTATGAATCGGGTCTGACTCAACAGCACATAACAACCACAACAATAGCTCCAATAAGTAATATACTTCCAAATAGAATTTTCAATTTTGATTTCGTTATGAAGGCAATGCAGCAGTATTTTCTATATTGTTCTAATTTGTTCTATTTCTCAGTGACTTTAATTTTCCTCCATACTTTTGCTATGAGTGTTATGTGTGTATGTATTTCTATTACTATCATGTGGCAATATTGAGACAGATGCCAATTCCCCATTCTCTGTGCATAACTTGATCTAATAATGTTTTCTTTCCTTTAGGGTGTTGGTTGGTGGAAATATGAATTCTGCTATGGCAAACATGTGCATCAATACCATGAGGTATAAAAGAGCATTTATATTATTCTACCACTAAATGGATTAAAGTTTTTTAAATCATTTGAGAAAAAATGGAAGGGGAATTGGTGTTACTTTTCATTATGAAATGATTTTAATGTGAAAATACTAATCAATGTATCTTTGAATCCTGGAAACAGAAAACTTGGTGTTGACTGAGTCAGTCATCCTAAACTTCAAACCAAAAACCAAACTCACTGCCGTTGAGTTAGATCCTACTCATAGCAACCCTTCCTTGGGTCTCCGCAGCGGTATCACTACAGAAGTAAATTGCCCAATCTTCCTTCTGAGGAGTGGCTAGTGGATTTGAACCGCCAACCTTCTGGTTAACAGTCAGATAGATGCCTTAGGCACTATGCTACCAGAGCTCCTATCCTAAACTTATATGTGTGTTAATACTCAGATCCTTATATTCTCATGAGCCCAGTGGAATCATCTTATGACTTTATCTTTAAGCTTTGATCAAGAAATTAGTCATTCTTATAACTCATCTTTAAATTAAGAAAATGAATGGAAGATACTACATTATCACTAGAGTGAGTAAAACAGAATAAATACAGCAAGTTTCTCAGAAAAAAAGAAGGTACTGTATCATCTTCAGTTTAAAATAAAGTTTTCAGATTATACATTGACTTTTGTTCTTTACTTAGAATTTTGTAAATTGGATAGCATAGTCTTCCACGATTGAGCCAAGCTACTTAAATTCTGAGGTTCGAGACCTAATGACTTGACTTATCATAGTTGTCCTTTGTTTGGTAAAGTAAACTGCTGGACATTGAAGATAAATTTTGATTAATAAATACTTACCTGGCTGCTTTAAAAAGTTCTTTTCCTTCCTTAGAAGAAATAGGAAGTATAATTTAATACAGAAATCGATAAAGGAAATGCCACCTAAGTACTTCCCTGAAAATATCCAATAAGATTTTTCTTCTTTTAGCTAACAGAATATATGCCAGAAATTAAAAATGAATAGAAAAATTCTTCTCTGCCATTATTCCACTTCCCAGAAATAACTGCAGTTAACATTTCCTTGGTTCATATTCCACAAGAAAGAAATGCACATACATAAATATTGGTGTTAACTTTTTATTTATACAGAAGAAATCATACTAAACAAGCTCCCCTGCACTTCTTCTTTTCAGTGGCTATAAAGAAGGTTGGGCAATCCTACTTCCGTAGTGATACTGCCTCGGAAACCCAGGGAGGGGTCGCTATGAGTCGGGGCCGACTCGACGGCACACAACAACAACAACAACATAGAATATTATGTCTAAACCCACATGTATTTAACCAGACCTCTACTAATGAATCATTATTTTCAGTTTTGCTATTATAGACAGTATTTTAGTGAGCACTTCTAAATAGTTCTGTTGCTATACTTTGTGAGTGTGTTAAAAATTTCTATAACAAGATACTTGCTAGTTCAACAGTTTTTACATGTACAATTCAGTGACATTGATTATGTTCATCATGTGCAACCATTATGTTGCTGTACTTTTGCGAGTATATTCATAGGGCACATTGCTAGCAGTGTAGTTGCTAGATCAAACTATGTGTATACTGGAAGATTGCCTTCCAAAGCATACCATTTTACACAGCCATTAACATAGTTGTTTTCCCATACGCTTGCCATCACTAGATTTTATCACACTTAGTTTAACCCAGAGGAGCTCTGGTGGCGTAGTGCCTCAGGCACTTGACTGCTAACCAGAAAGCTGGGGGTTCAAACCCACCAGCCACTCCTCGGTAGAAAGGTTGGGCAATCTACTTCCCTAGTGATACTGCCTCGGAAACCCAAGGAGGGGTCGCTATGAGTCAGATCCAACTTGACGGCAGTGAGTTTGGTTTGGTTTGGAGTTTAACCAAGGTCATATAACCTGAAACTTTCTGAAGGACCCTACTAGGTGCTTTTGGAGATACAGAAGTAGTAATCACTTACAAATACAGTACTTTGTGTGTGCCAGGCACAACTCTTAAGTAATCTGCACATATTAACTCATGTATCCTCGTAACAGTCTAAGAGGTGGGTATCATGATTTTGAGATGAAGAAACAAAGATTCAGTAACTTGCCTAAAATCACAGAGGTAGTAAATGGTGAAACAGGAATTCAAACCCAGGCAATCTTGCTCCATAATCTAACCTCTTCACTGTGCTGCTCTGATCCCTGTCAATACAGGAGCTTGTAGTCTAATTGCTGAAAGAATTTTTAATGACTGTCTCTTCCACTAAACAAGCCCTAGTGGCACACTAGGCTGCTAACCCAGAGGTCAGCAGTTTGAACCCACCAGTCACTCCCTGGGAGAAAGATGTGGCAGTCTGCATCCATGAAGATTACACAGGGTCATACAGGTTCTCTATGAGTCAGAATGATGGCACACAACAACTTCTCTTCCACTAGGCAGTAAACTCCAGTAGGACAGTGGCCATACCTCTTTTGTTTACCACTTAAAGGGTTTTAATTCTACTAATCAGATGTATATTCGTGTCAGCATAGTATCTGGATTAAAATAGAGAGAAGGGAGAGAAGGAAAAAAAGGGTTTTAAAGAATAATAAAGTAATACTATGCAGAAGGGAGCTCTGGTAGCATAGTGGCTAAGACACTTGCCTGCTAACCAGACGGCTGGCGGTTCAAATCCACCAGCCACTCCTCGGAAGGGAGGTTGGGCAATCCTACTTCCATAGTGATACTGCCTCGGAAACCCAAGGAGGGGTTGCTATGAGTCGGGCCGACTCGATGGCACATAACAACAACAACAACAACATGCAGAAGGGGAGCTCTGGTAGCAGAGTGCCTAAGGCACTTGACTACTAACCAGAAGGCTGGTGGTTCAAACCCATCAGCCACTCCTCAGAAGGAAGATGGGGCAATCTACTTTTGTAATGATTTTTTGTTGTTATGTGTATCTATAGTGATACTGCCTTGAAAACCCAAGGAGGGGTCGCTATGAGTGGGGTCCAATTTGACAGCACATAACAACAACAACACAGAAGAGTTCAATATGAATTGGAATTCTTAAGAAATAGGCAGAATGCAGAAGACAGTCTTGGTTCAAAAATAAACATGATGTCAAATGAGTAGTGTGAAGACCAGCATATCTTGAAGATTTGCATTTAAAGGGTAAAAGTAGAATGATGATAAGCTCAGTGTGGTGGCTGCAGGTCAAGAGACAGGTTCAAAGATTTAATGAATTGCAGTAGTATGTAGTTATATTATCTAAGTAGGAGAGATTAAACTCTTGATTGAGGCATGAGGGGCTGGCGATGGATATGTAGAGGAAAGATTGAAGAACAAGAACATCTCTAGGGAAAAAAGAACAGACTGATGTAGGAGAAGAAAGATGTAGAGTTAAGAATAACTCTATACCTGTAACAAGCATGACTAGAAAGTGGATATATCATTCATAGAAACAAGGAACAAAGAGAACTCAAATTTCTACTCACTGAATTTAACATTACTACATCTAAATGTTGATATCCGTTGTGCAGATAAATATAAGGACTAGAACTTACAGGAGGGTCAAATCATCAGTATAAATGTCTACTTGATACTATGGAACATGAATTATCACAAATATTTTTTCATATATTAGGACAAGGATAGTGGGAAAACCTCTGTGGTTGTGGGAACATGGAACCAAGAAGAGCATATTGAGTGGGCTAAGAAGAACACTGCTAGAGCCTATCATCTTCAAGACGATGGTACCCAGACAGTCAGGTAACAATTAATTTTATTTGCCTTTGGATCTGATTAGTAGAATTAAAAACTCAGAATATTGAGAAACATAAAAACTTAAAACACAAGTAAAGTCTCTGATCCAGTTTTATTCAGGAGACATCTTTTAGGTTAGTCTTCTTTTCTTGAGAAAGCAACATAGCATAATAGTTAAGAGCACAATCTCTGAAGTTAGACTACCAGGATTGAAACTCTGCCTTACTAGCTTTGGCAAGTTACATAATCTTTTTCTAAGCCTCACTTTTCTTGTCTAACAATATTTGCTTATAGAGTTGCAGTGATACTTAAATGAGATAATTGATGTAAAGCACAGTGCCTGATACTGCACGCAACAAACCTTGGCTGCTGCCTTTAGCGATGGTGGTGGTGGGAGAGTGGTGATGTTAGAAACAGTGCTCAGATCACATATTAGGTCTGAGGGCTCTTATAAAGCATTTGCCTCTTTCACGTGTGATCTTTACCTCTTGAACATATTTAATTCTATTTCGATATACTATTTGTTGTTGTTGTTATGTGCCGTCAAATTGGACCCGACTCATAGCAACCCCTCCTTGGGTTTCCGAGGCAGTATCACTACGGAAGTAGATTGCCCAGCCTTCCTTCCAAGGAGTGGCTGGTGGGCTTGAACCGCCAACCTTCTGGTTAGCAGTCAAATGCCTTGGGCAGTACACTACCAGAGCTCCTCAATATACTATTAGCATTTCCTTTTTTATTTAACCTTTGGGAAGTAATGTTTAGAAATATTTGAACATTAGTGGCTTTTTGAAAAACTACCTTACATCTCTTTTGAGTTATATAGATATATTTTCTCCTAGTTAATTTTCGTAAGTACATTAATCTTCTTTCTCAAGAATAACTGAGCTTTAGCTTTTTTTTTGCCCAGTGAATTTCAGAATATGCTGACTTTTCCTGCTAACCAAAATGAAAGTTAACAAAACTAGAGATAGACATTTAAGTATTATAACACACTAAACTTTTTTTTTCAATCTTTCTGTTTGTTTCATTTGAAAATATCTTTTGGTGTCATGTGCAGTTATTATTGAAGCACAGATGTGTGACACTAGCAAAACTAATACTTTCCTTTGGGTCCTACTGATTGAGAATTCATAGCATGGCCTAAGCTTTACCTTTTATACTATCTGTACTACATAATTTTAATGACAGTAGCTGGATGGGGGGTGGGAAAAAAGGAAAACTTTGTTCCATGAAATGAACAATACACTGGCGTTGGGGAAATGGCGAACTTTATAAGAACAACTTTTAAAGCAACCTAACCATAGCTATTTGTACACAAATAAATAATATACAAGTTGAAGATCACTATTATTAGTTAAACCAGTAGGAATTATCTCTATATTTATTCCCTTTTTAAAAATCTAAAAATGTCTGTCACTTAGCCCTAAAAATATGTATTTTTAAAGACTATTTTACTAGGGGAAAATAAGTCCCTCTCACCACCTTCTCACCCTACCATTACAATTATTTGAATCAGGGTGATTTCAGTTTAATGAAACATGTGTTTCTCTGATTCAGGATGGTGTCTCATTTTTATGGGAATGGAGATATTTGTGATATAACTGACAAACCAAGACAGGTGACTGTAAAACTAAAGTAAGTTAGACCATCAAATCATTCTTTATGCCTTTCTCTTTTACTAGCTCTCTATGTACAAAAGTTTTATATAAATATAAAAAGGAATTATGACTGTAATTATTGTTAAGTTATACAAGGTTCATTTGTATGGGAGTTTTATTTTTATAACTCAAGTAAAAGCTATTAAAAATAATCTTCCATTATATGATTTGGTCAGTACCTTAAAATCCTCTCTGTTTTAGGTGTAAAGAATCAGACTCTCCTCATGCTGTTACTGTATATATGCTAGAGCCTCATTCTTGTCAGTATATTCTCGGGGTAAGTAAAAAATTAAGAATTCAGCTTTGGCCCATGTTTCAGTTTTTCAATTAAATTTAGAAAGGATCTTCAGAAGTCTCTAAGACTCATATAGCCCATATGACTCAGCAGTTTCACTCCTAGGTATGTACCCAAAAGATTTAAATGGCAGGGACTCAAACCAGATGCTTATATAACAGTGTGTACACTAGTGTTGAAAACACCATTCACAGTAGCTAAATATGGGAACAATATAAGTAGCCATCAGTGGGTGAAGGGATAAACAAAAAGTGGTATATCCATACGGTGAAATATTATTCAGCCATAAAGAGAACCAAAGCTCTTATACGTGCTATGACATAGAATAACTTTGAAAGTATTATTCTGGTTGAAATAAGTCAGACACAAAAGGACAAAGATTGTATGATCTTACTTATATGAAATCTCTGGAACAGGCAAATGTTTATTATGGTTCATAAGCAGAGTAATACTGAATAAAGTGTTCATCCTATCAACTTTTTAACATTCAAAAAATGTTCCTTCTGTTGCTGTTGTTATTCTTTAGGTTGAATCTCCAGTGATCTGCAAAATATTGGATACAGCAGATGAAAATGGACTTCTTTCTCTCCCCAACTAAAGGGTAATAAAGTTGAGGGAAAGATAAGATTATTGGAAGTCATGGTGATTTCTTTCTTCAGTGACCATGTGTCTCGTTGTAGAGTTCTCAGCCATTGGACTTCATCTAAAAGATTGTATAAAAGGACTCTTAACCACTGTGTGAATATCTATGTGTATATAAGAGCTTATTGATAAACTTCTAAGGCAGATACTTGTCTCACTTTTTCATTTTTGTTGTGTCTTATGAAATGACCCTATGTTTTTTATTTTCTTGGATACTGTGATTCCAAAATAAATCTTGTCCAAGCAATTTAGAATATAGCCTAATCAAATGTAATCACCTTTGTACCTACTGAAAGTTTTTAAATAGCAGACTTATTATGTAAATTATAGTATATATAACTAGTCAGTAAAGTAAAGATAATGAATGATAGAACTGAATGAAAGGTTGTTTAAATGAGAGATCATGTAAAATATGTAAACACTAGTGCCTGAAATCCTTTCAACAAATTTTTATGTAGCAGCTCTCTCCTGGGCATTAAACTACACACTGGGCACACAGTAGACCCTTACATGTTAAGTTTTCTTCCCTTCATTCACCTCTGTTAATCTCAAGAAATTATTGCTTCTCTAGGTTGCTTCTCTCACAGAATTTTATTTATTCTTTCCCCTTAGTATTTTCCTTTTCCCACAGTATGTACCTGGTATAGACAGTCTTCTCTCTGATTTAACAAAACACATTGTACTGACTCTCTGTTGTCCTTGCCCACTGAATGCCACAGGTTTTAGTTCTGGATAATTGTTCAGCATAATGGTTATTTTGAAAGTGAATAAAATGTCTTCAAGCAGTGTTGTTACATAGTCAGTGGCAGATTATTCAGTTATTTTATTTTCTTCATTATCTTGTTGCATACCTTTTGGACATTCGTATCTAAACAGACAAGTGGCCATAAAATAGTTTTTTCCTCCCTTTCAGTAGTGCTGGCCAAAGATATTTTAGTTTAAGGAAGTTTAATACAGTTAACTATTTGAAGGTTATCTGTAGATTCTAGAAGCAGCCAATTTAGAAAGAGAATGTGTTTTGAATTCAAACATAGGTTCATATTCTCTCTAACTTACTAGCTGGACAGATCAGTTAACCTACTTGAGCCTCACTTTCTCTTTTGTGAAATAGAATACTCACTTCATAAGGTAGTTATGAATATCAGTTTAATAGTTACTATATGTGAAAAGCCTAGCCCCAATACTTGACCCTGATTCCCAATAAGAATTAGTTAATTTCCATATAGGGTTGGCAAACAATGGGCCTATAAGTTCATGTGAATGATCAGAATTCCCAGGTGTATAGTAGAGCTGACAAGGGACAAGGTTATGGTCATT